CTGAGCCCTGAGGTGTTTGTCGGGGTAGGAGGAGGCAAGTCTTATGAAACGGGGTACTAAACAGCCTAATGAACAGCCTGCAGAGCAGACATGAGTTAATGTAAAGTACCCTAGTTGAAAGCTAACAAAAAATAAAGCTTGGCTGTCCTGTTGGAAGTGCATGTATCAGCAGGAGTCCTTGTGTTCTAATTTAGGTGAAGAATTAGTCACAGGCAGCAGAGCCTTACGGGGTGCAAAAATCTGCCTCCTGGAGTCCCACTCCTCCCATCAGCATGCCAGGAACCTCCCTGGTGCCTGATGGGATGCAGATAGTCATCAGCCTGTAGCCTTCCACAGTCTCTGGCGCACAAGCTCAATTTATCAGGGACCGGCATGGTCCCAGGCAATAAACAAGCAATCAAGGTTGATGTGCCAGTGGAGAGGAGCTGCAGGTACTTTTCAGGTTCTGCCTAGGCAGCTGTCAGGAGGGCAGTGTTCCATCCTGTTCAAGTCCATGTATTTGGAAGGGGATGGGACCCCTCTAAGTGGCACCAATGTCATGCAGCCAGGATCCTTGAGGAAGTCTTTGTCACAGGCTGCTCTTGCCTGTGTGAACATAATCCAGAACAGCAGCTCTGACCGTACATGAGCTTACACTTGCTGTATGCTGTGCCAGAGGCAGCAGAAAAAAAACAGTAAATGAATCCCCAAGCATACCCTTTCATTGAAACCAAATGTGTTTACGGGAAAGGCAGGAGTTATCTAAGAAAGATATGTATTTAAATGTGCATAGCTAAGTATCAGTCGTCAGCTTCTCATTTGAAGCCCTATAAATAGTACCTCATTCATTTTTGTGTTATGACGTGCATGTGACATTTGGAGGTTAAGTTGGGTACGCTTTCCTCTAAGTGCCAATCCAGTTCTGCATCAGGAATATTGGTTTGTTCCCTTTCATGCTTATTTTCCCCTGGCTTATGTGCAGCACTGTCAAATAAACAGAATTTGAAAATTTGCCAAAGGGTAATTGTTTTCAGTGTTGGAATAAATACAGAAACACCACTGGTGTCATTTTTGTAATTAATTTTCACTCTGTGTTTTTGTGGGCTTTTTTTCTTCCCCCAGTCACAGCAAGTTACATCCCTAGATAAATATCTTAGCATCCTAGTCAGGTGATCACCCAAGCCCAAATGCATATGTTGGTTTTGCTGACAAAAAGAAGGGCATGCCACTTGGCACCAAATGCTTCTCCAAGTTCAGCAATCCTCTGACATAAATGTGTATATATATATATACACACAAGGGGGTTTTGGTTGTTTTTGCTGGATTTTTTCCCCCCCAAAATTCTGTAAGCTATTTTCCTTAAACTCCAGCAATAATGAAAAACACTTGTTTGTGGCAAGGTCTGAATTGTTGCATTGGATGCTTGCCTGGAACTCACTGTCTTGGGGGTCAGATGAGCTCAGGACACAGATGGGGAGGTGGGTGCAGGGTGGCAGCAGGGTGGACACCCACTGGCAGGCAAACAGGGCTGTAATGAAATGCACTGTGTGAGGTAGCTCAGCCACCCATGCAAATAACCCCAGTATTCAGATTTCTCATGTACAAAAGCAACTCTTGGGACTTTCATGCTCCAGCAGCTCTGCCACAGGGGTTAGCACCCCTAGGAGATGGTATGAGGAACTGAAGCCTGACCTTGACTTGGGTCTGCTCTAGGGGAATTCAGCACATGAGAGCCAGGCCATGGTGCAGTGTGGGGCTGGGACTGTTTTACCCACAGTGCTGCAAATCTGCTGTCATTCAGAGGGTCTGATAATCAAACCAGAGTGTTTCCCTTGCAAGGGCAATACTCTAGAATGCAGTCTTAATGGCTCACTCCAGTGGTGTGTTGTGTAGTTCTGACCATGATTTGTATATCCTCTGCTCCTCCTGTGGGAAAGACCATCCCTTTTCCCTGGGGTGTTCAGGACCACACACAACCACATTGCTTTGTGTGGGAATAAGAGCTGTTGTACCTGTTGCTTTCATCTCTGGGCTGTTTGGATGGTAAGATGACTGTGGAACAGTTATTCCATGTTTTGTGGCTACAGATAGATCTGATAATTGATCCCTTTGGTTCACTGCAGTGTAGTTGTGCAGAACTAACCTGGGCAGAACCTCAAACACGGTGTCGTGTCTTCACTGCAAATAGCTCTGTAGAGGAAAAAGTCACCTACTGGAGCATCAGGGGGACTTGTAGTTTCCTGAGGCATGTCTCTGGAGGGAAACCACTGAACAATTTGCAGTGAAGACCTGACAGTTTGAGGTTCTGCCCAGGTTAGTTCTGCCCAACAGCAATGAACTAATGTTCAGTTGCAGCTGAGAATGATTTCAAAGGGAAAAGTAGCAAATGAAAATGAAAGGGGTCATTCTGTGTGCTTAGCTTAGCAGACCTGGCTGTATCCGTAAAAATATGTGCTTGCCCTTAAATGTAACAAATGAGAAACAGGTCTAAAATACCACTCCTCCATTTTTTTTATGACTTGGTCCCTTGATTCTGTGGGAACCATCTGCCTTGAGAGGAGTGAATTCCACTGCTTGTGCCAACTCTGTCAAATGTGACAGCAAATTCAAACTGGGAAAGAGGACAGGGGTTTGCCCTTCAACAGGTGACACATTTTCTAAATGTGCTAAGTGATTAACACCGGACAAGGCTGGGATTTGTAACTTTCTGGTGGCCCTAGCAGTGCTCAGATGTACACAGGAGCAATCAGAAAGCAGTTTCAATCTATTTGCTTGTCTGCCAGCTGTCACAGACTCAAAGTTGCATATAAACTTTTTTATTGTTGTTGTTGAACAAATGACACAGAAGATTGTGCATTCAAACAGTATTATAAGAGGTCAGTTTTTTTCTGGTGGCACTGGAACGTGCTTTTCTAAGCGTGGAAGCTGTGGACGTCAGAGATGTCTTCCTGCTTTTGCAATGGCAATAAGTTTCAGTTTACAAAACAGTTTCCCTGGGACAAGAACACAAGGCATTTGACAGCCTGGTTAGAAATAAGCTGTTTGGGGATGTTTTTTTTCTAGATAATTTTTATATCAGAACTAGATCCTACTTTGTCTAAAACTAACCATTTCTATGATAATTAATAGTTCTGAGAGACTTAGGTGTAAAAAAATTCAGATTTTTCTTATTTGAATGGCCTGTTTTGATATTTTTGCATAGTAAACTCTAGCTCAAAACTAAAGCTCTACCTCAAAATTACCTTAATTTTAACACTTAATCATAAGGACCCGAAAACAAGAAAAAAAAGCAATGTATTTTGAAGTGCTCAAAGCTGGGAAAAAAATCCCAACAAAAACAATGAGAGAAAGAAGGGCTAGATGTATTTTAGCTTTTTTGGTTTTGCACATTTAGGTTTTTCTCTAGAATAAGTCTGTCAAAGCCTCAAATGTTTTCTCTCACACAGGAGATTTATTTCTAGTCCGGTTTACTATGGATTCAGCAGTAAAGCAGTGTCCCCCACGATAGGCAGTTTTTCAAATGCTCTTTGAGAGGGAAAGGAAATCTAGCCCAGCCAGTCTCTTAGTGGAACTACTCGAACCAGAGGCCTTTCCCACATGTTGTTAGGGGTATTTACTTTCTCTCTGCTGCTTTCCAGACAGCACTCATAAAATAAAAAAGATGGTGTCTCTGAAGGGAGGGGTGTGGGGAGCTTTGGGCTGTGCAGCGAAGCCCCACTGAATACATGGGCATGAACTCAGAGGCTGGATAACATGAGAACTGAGTTTTGTTGAGATCCATCCTGATCTTACCTCCACTGCTCTCCTCTAGTGACTCCAGATTTTTCTGACATCCTCACCCTGAAGGAAGGGAGGAGAGGCCTCCGTGGAGGAGGTGGGGGCCCAGCCATGATAGCTGTGCCCAGACCCTCTTTTGCCATGCTGAGGAACTGGAGATGTTTCCCCCATAGACCACTAAAAATGTGTATTAGTAAGGGGGAGCCTTCTTGACATCTCTTATGATGAACATAAGGCTTTTCAAGAAGCCTGCAGTGCCTACAGGGTTTTCCAACAACAGAGGGACCAAGTAGGTCCAACCAAGTAGGACTGAAATCATTCACGCTCCTTACCCATGGCCTGTCCCACAGCCACTAGCAATGCTGTGTGATCTGTAGGGCTGCTGACACTGCCAGTAAATGAGCTTGTAAATAATCTGGACAAGATCCTGGGAGTGATGATTTGTTTGCTGATGGAGCAGGAACTGTTAGAGGCTGACCTACTCTTCTGTTCTCCCACTTCCTATAGGACTTAATTTCAAGAACTCTCTTCTCTGTCTCTTTGCTTTGGTGCTGTATTCTACTGGGTTTTCCTCCTTCAGAGTTTTATTGTGACCTTTTTTATCTCCCCTGCTCCCTGCTGCTTTTGAGAGCCAACGAAAAGAGTCACAGCCCAGGACTTGCCATGAACAGAGTCTGAGGAAATCCATCAATTTCTGCCATCAAGGGCAGCCTTAATACTCATTTGTTCCATAATGAAACTTTAAAATTTCCAATCTGAAATTGCAGAGAATTATCTCAAAAGGCACAAGTCCTAGAGGACTTTCCCTGAGAAAACAGCATGGGCTGGGTTGAAAGAGGCTTTATGTAATAATTCTTGCTCCACCTTTCACTGACACCTCAGACAAATGGTCCTTGCCCTTGCCTGATTCAAAAAAGACTGACTAAAAAGGTCCCTTCCAGCAGGTCAGCTGCCTGCTGCTTCTTGATAAAGATGCTTTATGTCAAGTACCTTGGGCCAGTGTGGGCTTTCTCTGCCCTTGAGCCGCTCTGCTGTTGTGATAGCTGCTGCTGCCCTTCCTGATGGGAGTCAGTGTGCTTGGCAAAGGGAGAACACCATGCTAGGCTGTGGGAGGGGAAGCATATTGCTGATGAAAAGGGAGAAAAAGGTGGAGTCCAAGACTTTGTATAAGGCCCCCTCCCAAAATCCTCTTAATCATCTTGTGTCACAGCCCTGTTTAATTCCAGGAAGTCCTTCCCGCTTACCTAGTTTTCCAAGCATTGGCATCAGCAAGGAAATGGTGCTTAAATGAAGTGATGATGAGGCCTCTGGAAACCTCCAATAATCTTTGGTGGCTTCACTCCAGAGCCAGCCAAAGCACAGTGATCACCTCTTGAGGCTTGACCATCCCCAGAGTAGCCCTGTAAGCCAAACCCAATGAGCAAATCAGTGTGGAATGGCTCCATGCTGCAAAGGCTGTTTCGTGTTGTTCTAAACTCAAAAGCTGGAAAATTCAGAGCCAGCACTAAATATTTGTTCCACTTTCAAAGCTGAGCATCAGGGAGTCATTCCTTAAATAGTGGATGCCTATTCTCTGAGCCCAGATGTCTTATAGTGTGGGTCTTGCCAGTGTTTTCCTTTCCTCCTGCTTCCCACATGAATACGTGTGCAGATTCCAGCCATCCATCTTTACCCTTTAAAGTTGGTGTGAGGGGTAGCAGCTGTTCCTTCTTCAACAGAGGTGGCAATAATATTGGACAAATTGTTTTCAACCTTAATCAGTAAAGCTTGCCACACAAGTGATCCTATTTCTTGTCAGAAGTGATAAATAGGACTCAATTTTGGAGCACATGAAATGTTAGACAAAATACATTAGTCAAAGACACTTCAGAGTATCAGTTACTTTCCTGTGGTATGTAAGCAATAATTCAGTTCTTAAAACCTTCCACCTGGATTTGGAAGGTCACCTGTGCTCTTGTTGCAGGCATTTAGCTGCGAGTTAGAGTGTGAGGTAGCAGTGAATTGATGGATTGCCCTGTGTTTCCATTTATGTAACTAGAAACAGCAGTAGACTCCAGCCTGAAATTTGAGATACTGGTCTTTACTAATCTGTTTTACCGGGTCCAGGCTGGGATGTTTCTGTTCTGTTTCTCACTATCATTTTACACAGACAGCTAATCTCAAATTGTCACAGATTTATCCCTTCTTTAAATAGCACAAATTGTGCAGACCTATGGTAATATCAATGCACAGAGATGCACCAATCAGAAATGGTAATCTCCTGAAGGCCAGTTGTGCCTTCCCTCCTTCTCTCCTTCCTTCCGTCCTTCCTTCCTCCTTTGGTGTCTGCATTTGCTCTAATGTGTGTGCAGTGGAGAGAGGTTATCCTAAATGAATCAGAGGAATCAAGGGCTAATATGCTTAGAGAGGGGAGCTTTTTCTTTCCATATTGTATCTGCTCTGTGTCCTTGCCCCAAGTCAAACATGTTGCTCCTTTCAGGGAAAGAAGGTATGAAGCAAGGCAGGAGGGTTATCCCCTCATTGCTGGTCATGTGCACTGGAGTGCTGGTGGAGGGATCTGTCAGATTTGGCTGTGTTTGTCTTTGGTGCTGCCCAAAGCTTAACAAACTGTGTGGCTTGGAGTGATGGAGTTGCATTGCTTCAGAAAGAGGTTGGTGTGAGAAGGGATACATTCCACCTGCAACTCTCCCAACAGGATTCTTCTCCTGACCAAAACAAGAGAAAAGGTGAAAATTTTGAGAGTTTTAACTCTTTTCTTTGAGAGTTTAACTTTTAAAAAGGTTTTCTGCTTTTTTTCCTTTCCCCTAAGCAGTCATGTTTGTGCTCATATGCAGAAATTTTCTTTGTAATCCAGCAGAGGAGGCATGACATAGAAGAAATCAGAATGACCAAGAAAAATCACAGGTTTTTCTGCTGCAGCCTGAAAAAAAGTATGTTCTCATTTACTGCACTCATATGTACTTCCATCATGGTTCAGCACCATGAACTGGAAAAGAATGAAGTCAGTTGTCTGGACATTGAAGCCAAAAATAAGGGAAAAAATGGGAGTTATGGCTCAAATAGTTGAAAAGTGGGTAGCAATCTGATAAATTCTGGGGCAAATCACAGGAAAGCCAATACAGAACTGAAGTTAGGAAGGGATTAGGAAAAAGTAATATAATTCATGGTAATCAATGTAAAACTGAGTTGTGAACTAATTGAAATGTAATTTTGGTAAGATGGTGTCTGATTGGTGAAGTTTTTGATACCAGCTTAAACATACACCTCTTGAAATTTCTGTAAGATATGATTTTGTTCCACATGATGCTCTGAGTAAAAGAAACAAACACCCATGCTGTAACAATATAAGACAGCAACAATAAATAAAGACATCAAATTAATTTCAGTGTGGCTAATACTCATGCTCTCTAAAGTAATTGTAAATGAGGAGGCATTCAGAATTGAAGTTCCTGAGGGATATACCAAAGGGCTCATTCTTTGCGGTTCAAAGTAATCAGTTCCTTGGGTTCTTACCTAAGAACACATGACTTATTTCATTAGACAAAGACAATGATGATGCAACCAGAGATAAAGTAATAAATGACAATGTCAAAGACAAGCCTATTCTTTAAAATCTTCTGCATTGTCTGGTAAACTGATCTCATCCCCAAAAACATGTACTTGAATCCTCAGCCAAATTCAAGGTGCTAACAGACCAAAGATGTGCTTTTATAGCTGCGCTGTTTGTCTGGGAGGTTGTGTTCTGGAAACCAGTGACTCAGGCTTGTTTGTAATGGATAGTCAGCTAAACATGCAGTCCCTGTGTGATACAGTGTACCCAAAGCAAATGTTACGGTCTCTGATGGGAGCAGATTGCTGAGTAAAGGTCAAGGAGGTGGTATTTCCATTTCTGAAATGTTTACAGTTTTAAAAGGATTTTGACAGATGGGCAGGGAACAGAGACTGTTGGAGCTGCATGAGCATAGGCTGAACTGTGCTGTCTGAAGAGAGGAAAGAGAATCTTAATCAATTTATTTTGTCAAAGATGACATTTTATAATTGTCCACTAACAACTGAAAGCAGGGAGAGAATTAATAATGGGAGATTATCTCTGGACATAGCAAGGTGGTTAGATGCTGGAGGTAGACAAATACAGGTTAGAAAATGGGCAACTAAAAATGCCTTTTTCTTTTAATGCCAGCAACTGACCACTTAACTCAAGATGCAGGGTTTGCCTGTTACGTGAAATAAGCACTGAATACTTTTCAAAAAAATATAATTCTGGTAACTCTTGTGGTAAAGGCACCAGAGTTTGTGGTAAAGGCACAGGTAAAAACACTGTGGGCATTATAGTTCAAGCAGGCCAGGCTAAGTGAATTCATGAGTTTCAGAAGCTCTAGACAGGACTGATTTCTCTTATATCCGGTACTCCAAAGCCCCATTTGCCATTCCTGGTGTGTGTTAAAGCAGGCAGGATACACCCCTATCTTCATAGCTTAAGGCTTTACCCTGGTCCCTTGGGCAAGGATGTCTTGTGCTCGGGAGCTGTGGCGTGTGAGAAGACCCAGCAAAGGGCCACTGTAGTGGTTCTGTGGTAACAGTGTGGGGGCTTTAGGGAGGAAGGTCTGGCCCCTTATAGATGCTTTGTGCTATTCTAGTGATTAAATTCCCTGGAGATGAAAGCCACACTTTGGCTCAGTATCACAAGCTTGTTCAAAACACTAGGGTACACTATGGATCTAATAATAATTTTCACCTCATGGCTACCAATTATTTGTCTCTGCAGCCAGGATCTTACTATTGGGTTTGTTTCACTTCTGGACATTGCAAATACTGAACAAAGGTGAAGGCTTTCACAGTAGTTTTTGAGCTGTGGGCAGCCTTTCAAGAAGAATGTGAAAGGACAAATTCTTAATAAAAAGGATAGCTTTTTTTGTGAGCCCATGAGGCAGTGAATTTTTGTGTTACAACTGTTTTTCAAATTTGTTATATCATCAGTATGTAAATAACATGCATCAGAGTATTAGGCAAACTGTACATAAACACATTCAAGGCTGAGCAGTAACAGATGTACTGCACATTTATAGGTAGGAAAGTCTATATCAGGATGAGCTTCTTGGTCAACTGTCGAATGTGAATCCCAGTTTTGGGGCAGCAGGAACCTGTCAGTGACTGAAAATATTGGCTTGTACACATGTGAATCAAGATTGACCATCACCAGCTTTCTTCCATAGGTGCAACGGGAATGGAAATGTTAGACATTTGGTTGCACTTGGATGTAAGAGGGGGCATTTTATGTTAGTAGCAGGCACACTGCAAAGCCATTCCTGGCTAAGTTAGGAGGCTGAAAGGAGTAGGGGCAGCAGGCACACAGGGTTTACACAAAGTGACTGCACTCTGGAGAGTATAAGGTGTGGTGGGAGTTAAGTAGGAGCGAGAAGCAGGGGCTCACTCACCTCTCTGAGAGGGAGACAGGAGTTGAAAGAGAGACACAGAGAGTCATTACTCAGTGTAGAGATACGAGTCTCACTCCTGAACAATCTGCCTCCACCACCTCAGAGGTCAGTGTGGGCAATCTATGAAGCTTGTCTGGTGTGTGCGAGCTGCACTGATGTGGTAAAATATAAGTGTATCCACATCCTCTGTGTGAGTGATACCTGAACAATCCTGCTTGACGTGCCATGGGCTGGGAATAAGTGCCTGCAGAACAAATACACTGAAAAAGCCTCTTGATTCTGTCTGTAAGGCCTTCCTCTTCCTTCTGATACAAACACTGCAGAGCAAGGCTTTTTGCACAGGAAGTGTGTAACACATCTCATGTTTTTTAATGTACTTTGACTTCTTGGAAGGCTGAAAGAATCTTGACTTTACACCCATTTGTAGCCCAGATTAATTTCTCAACTGGAGTAAATGTAACCACCAGAAGGACTTGTGACATTAATATGATTGTGTCCATACTGGGGCCTTCCCTTTGACCGGGTTTTAGATGGGGTGATTTTTAACACAAATTTATTTTCGCAGCTATGCTAGAGCCAAAGTATGGAGTAGGTTTAAGGGCTGGGGTCCTACTTTTCATAGAGAAGGTGTTGCCCATGTGCTTGTTTAGCTTCATGGGACAGATTTAGAAAAGCCTGTTTTGATAAACTGTGTGCTTGCTTGGCTTGGCATTCCCAAACACTGTGTCAAATTTCCACAGAGCTGTTTTGGTGAGATCGGTTGGGGAATTCAGCTCGCAGCGCTAAGCCTGCAAGTGGCATGACTCAAGGACAAGATAATTTGCTTCATTACTTTCTTTTTTTTTTCCTGAGTAATTACACAAGAATTGCAAAGCTACTTTCCAAAAGTGGGAAGAGAGGTTCTGAAATGGATCTGAATTTTCTATTACGTGTTTGGGAGTTGAGATGAGATGTTAATTGTGGTA